ACTCGTATGTAGCCAATTTATTCCCAAAGTATCACATTTTTCCACATACAAAATTGATCATAAGTGGTCATTCAAGTAGAAATTGTAGAAATTAGGTTATAAAATTGATCCCAATTTAATCCCTAAACAATACATAATTGATCCAACCTAGTTCTGAAGGGATCATTTGGATTAGTTTTGTATAATATACGGCTAAATTGGAAAAATGTGGTACTCTCGAACTAAAATGGTCGTATACAAATACTTGGGAGACTATTTTGGTTATTTTTTCAATGCAATAATATCAATAACAATAATAACCAATAAATGTAAGTATAGTGTATACAAGGTGTGATATAGTGTGATCTTGGGCTAGGACTTCCTAATACAACTGATATGGTGCAATGCTTTCACGCAAAGAAAATTAATGATTCATAAATCACAAGTTACGAAGTAATTTAACAACTTAACTTTAAATGTAAACAAGTAGAGATAAAATTTAAACCCATTGATAATGAAATGATCGAAATAATTAGATAGGTTTAACAAAAATAAAAAATAAAAAATATATAAAATCAACCATCAAATTAAATTTAATCTTCATAAACTAGATTTATAAAATGTCTTTTTTTAATCAAAATCAAGAGCACTACACAGGTAGATATTATATAATATAAGATGAACACATAATGAAAATACCAAAGAAAAATCAAGTCTCACGCTCGTATAAGAAGAGGTTGATGGGGACATCAGATCAGCGTGGAAGGTTTATCAGTAACATGGCCGCCGATCTACGACCACGATCGGACCGTGGGCCGTCGGGTGTAGAACCGGACCGGTCCAGCTGGGACCGGTCCAGGCGTAACACAGTCCTGCATCAGAGATCCTTCCCCATAATCAGGTAATTGCACTTATATTACAATAAAAGAATGCCACTCAAGATTGAAACTAGAAAGAGAAACTTTACAAAACCCAAAGTCATAAAAACAACTACTTATAAGCCCATCATATCCTAAATTAAAGGATAGGATTGGCATAGGATCAAATTAATTATATTTTAAATTAAATCCCAGAGATAAGAACCCACTCAAATTTTAATTTTAAATGTCATAAAAACCTAGGATTAAATACTGGGCGACCAACTATAATCCTCAAAATTCACCAAGTTTCAGAAGAGATCCTTATCAAAGACATGGCAAAAGGATTAAATACCGAGATATTTCAACCTAAAAAATGGCCACATTCAAGAAAACTCTCTAAGGATGATTATCAAGATTCAAAGAAACTCTCTCTATAAAATTTTCTCAGGAACATGAAATAATTCGAGAAAAAAGCTTACCATTATAGATCATCGCAATAGAATCATAGTCATTAATCTTACCCGACATTGAAGACATTTAGATATTGTTGATTCATTTAAGAACAATGTTACATGAAAAGAATGAACTGAATAAGTGTTAAAAGAGAAATTAATCCAAAGGGGATTATTCAACTTCAGAGATCAACTAGCTAGCATATTATATTCTTGTGAGATTCTAGTCCTACAAAGACATAAATGCACTAATTCTTTACAAACTAGTGAGTAATTTCCTCGGCTCACCTTACAGTGAATGTAGGTCACAAGATGAACCTAAATCTCCATATGCTACACTTCTGGCTATGATTTTGTTGCACCTCCTAATAGAGTACCCGGAGTACCATTCTATCTCTCCCAACCTTTTGTTTTCATTGAACCCAAAATGCCTGAATTCCTATGCTCTCAGTTGAAAGCAAATTTCTCACATTCACATTTAAGCATCATCCATGAGCAAGTTAAATATACTTTCAAAAGTACAAGCATAATGACTCATGAAAATCATAACAATGCTGCTCAGTTCAAGTTTTATGCTATCCATTCTAAGAAATATGTCAGCGAGACATCACATGGTAACACTGATTTCACATGAGAGAAGATTGAGATCTGGTTTAAGCAGATTCATTCACAATTAATTGTCCTCGTTAATACAATTGAAGGAGCTCTTAATTACCAACGGACTACTAATGTTGTTACTCAACCATCCCAATCTTGTCATAAGGGTAAAGCTATTTTTATTGATGAAACATCTTCTCTTTCTAGGACTACAATGCACTACTCTCCTTTTACTTCTCAAGTTTAAAAGGGGCTTGCTCAACCAAAATCACTTGGATAAGCTTGAGAAAATGTTGTCTCTCTGCAATGTTTCAAAAGCCATCAAGCATCGAATATTCGCTACCACCTGCAATGATTCAACATGAAGGTAATTCAAAACTAGCCAACCTCTATTATTGAATCCTTTTGTATTAAGTAGAAAGGGGTGGAGAGTTTGAGAAATTATATGGCCAGATTCAAAAAGATCTCTCATGAGATCGCATTTAATGATCAGTTTCCCAGCAAGACTATTTTAATCATTGGGCTACCATCGAGAAAATTTAAGTTCTCGATGGCAAAGAATACTTCTGATTGCATATATAATATTTTTAGAAAATTTGCAAAATTTGTAGGTGTTAAATAATTTTTGGAGAGTTTGAATATCATGAAAAGGAATGTTCTTCTTTTCTTGTGAAAAGGAAGAACAACAACAGCCATAATATAACTTCTCGACTTAAAAAGAAGCTTAAGACTAATTTCTCCAACCACAAAAAAAAAGGAGAACCACCAGTTGATCCTACGAGGCAACAATTATTTATACCTCCTCTAACACCTACAATCTCCACTGAGCATCAACACCAAGAGAAAAAAAAATCAAGAAAAAAGACTTCTATACCAAAATTTGTTAACCAAAAGTTACTAGGCGAGTACCAAAACCTTTAATCTTCATTCAAGTTAACTAAAAGGAAATACCTTGATTTTCTCTAGATTATGATAACATTATTTCAAAAGAAAAGAAAAGCTAGGCCATCTCATTAGCCCCATACTTAGGAGAAGATGATCTAGAATTTACCGGATGGGAAGTGAAAGATTCCCCAGTTATTTCAGAGCTATCAAATTTAATGATATCAAAAGTTAGAGAAACCTAAATGTTCCTAACCATAACCAAAGATATATGGGATACAATAAGGGCGCGTTTGGGACGGTGGCACTGTTGCTTTACTGTATAAAAAGTTATGAAATCCTTGTTTGGGACATTGCGGTAGAACAGCGGCAGAAAAAATTCTGCGGCACGTAATTGCTTCCAGCGACCTTTCCCTCTCTCCTGCGGTCCGCTGCTTTCGGGCAGAAAAATGACGAAACTCTTCTGCAAATATTCGCGACTACCACCGTTTCTCATCTCCAAAAAGCTAGACCTCCCATTCCTTCCCCCATTTCTCACATCCACCTCCTTATGCACCAATCTCTGTTGTTTAATTCTATCTCCTCCATCAACTCCAGCGGCGGCGGCGGCTTCGGCGGCGCCGTCTTCAACGAACGACGTAAGGATTCCGACGCGAACTCGATTGGAAGTCGGAAGTCGCTCTATCGCCGCCCACCGGAGCGCCTCCTCGTCGTCGTCGATGCGGCGTCTCGAAGAAGCGGTATTGGTTCTTGTGAAGGCTTCATCGACTCCCCAATTCTCCAAATTCATTCCTCTGCTGATGCTTCTGCTAAGCCGCAAACTCGCTTTTTTACCTGAATCCCAAACCTTCTCCATCGATTCTCTCTATAATTTCCTCTGCTCTGTTTCTCTCTCTGCTTCTTTGCATAAATGTGACTTTCTCCGAGAAGTGGCGACAGATTTGTCCAGAAACGAGCCCTTGACTTCCTCCGAGAAGTGGCGGCAGAGGAGTTGGGAGAAAGAGAACGTCACCGGCAAAGTATAATTTTTTTTATAGTCATATCTTAAAAATATATCATAGTTATATTATCATTAGAAAAAAAATTGTTTTGTATGAAGAATAATTTTTTTCCATATTATTTTAAAATATGATAGTACATTATAAAATAATTATATTATGGTATTTAATAGTTACAAAATATACTGCTTTTTATACAACAATTTCTGAAAGCAGCTTTCTGTACAACAATTTTACAACCTACTTTACCGACAACTGTCCCAAACGCACCCTAAATCAAACATATTTAGAGTTTCATGATACAGCCTTAGTCTATGAATTTAAGACAATATTTTAACAACCAAGAAAGATGCTCTTTCATTTATTGAATACAATAACAAGATAAAAATTTATTGCTCGAATTGTCGATGTATTAACATGAGGAGCAAAGAAGATGTCCTATGCTATGAATTTCGATAGGAGAAAGAATTTATGAAATAACAGCTCGGTTGAATGCACACATCACATGACAAAATATATATCAATATCCTTGAAAAAAATGATTCATGAAACCGACCCCATGTAGTGGGATAAAGGCTGGATGTTATTGTTGTTGTATTCTAATAAAAATTTGATCAGAGCATGATATAAATTACATGACATAATTTAGGATTGTGTTCTCTTACAAGAGTGTACTTATAATCAGGTGGCCTCAATGTTCCAACACCTGCAAGAGATAAGCATACCTAAAAAAATGACCACTTGTGATTACAATATGCTCCTACCTTCTCACAATCGGCTTCCTGCAGTAAACAATCACTAGTAGAATTTTATACCTTAGCTTCAGTGCTTTCGATTATCTATCCAGATTACCTTGACATAAAAGCTGCATGTGGAGCTAATCTAACATAAGCCACATTAAAAAAAAAAAGAAAGAGAAAGAGAAAGAAAACAACCATCTGTGATCTGTCAAACCTAAGAACCACGAAACCGCCTTCTAAGGCATAACATACTATTCAAATTGTAAATACTTCTCCGGCAATTATGCACAATATCAAATCCTTACACAAATGAGGAAAAGTTCTTCTCAAACAAATTTAAACCATCGTCAATGATAGAATAAAAAGAAAATTCTAATTGAGATCTGTATTCTATCAAATGAAAGGCATAGATCAAAATGCAGGAAACATGAAAATTTTATAAGAGTTAAAAAGGGCATATCTGAAGAGATCCTGAGGGTGGGAGAAGAGTACACGGAACATGACGCCGATTACTCCGAGGACGACGGCAAGGAATCCGGCGTAATCGACGGGAAGATCCTGCGGGGAAATCGGCGGAGGAACGTAGGGCTTCGCCGTTGATGGCTGGCGGGGATCGCTCCCCGTTGAGCTGCTCTCCTTCATCTTTCTCGCTCTCCCGTCACACTTCCGCGCCGGCCAAAGCTTCAATTTGATCTGTCCACGGCTTAGGATTTTACTCGAGCAAATTATAGAATATAAAATCTAAAAATAATGTAATTAATTATTTATTTTAAAATTTTTGCTAGCATGTCCCCAAAAAAAAATTTTGCTAACCAGTTAGTTGTAAAATAAATTTAAACAATTATTATTTTATTTAAATTTTTCTGTACATTAGAAATCTTTTAATTTATATATTTTTTAATACAAGGCATAAACTTCCTTATTCGTGGTCATTGCTCGCCGCCCATCGTAAGTGATCGCCCAAATCACTAACACCAATGAGAACTGACAATTCAACCAAAGAGTCATCAAATTATTGTCAATATTATAGAATGTTCCTTCTCCAAATTTGAACTGCTAATCACCATTAATTTTTAACTTAAGGACTACAAATTATTCTATTCAAACAAATTTATAATATTTGTAGCTTTAACCCCAGTTTAATCTTTAAACCATTAGACTCTTCTTCTTATTGTTCAATGACTAGTCTAGCTCTCAAATCTTGCTAAAAAAAGAAAAAAATTATAACATTTGACTTTATATATCCATTATAAGATCATTTGGACTAATATATACCATATAGTTTTATTTGAAGAAATATCCCCAAAGTCCTTTTTGGATAATAATGAACTTGTGATAGCAATATAAGGCATAATCATTAATAATAATGTGGAAGTTATAACTTGATTGTTGCTCAAACATCTATCTTCCAAACACCATCATCATTTTCTAAGCATGATATCTCTTCAACCTCGAGTGATCCCTTTGTTATAAAGCCTCACAAATAAATCTTTAAAACAAACAATAAGTTAGTGTTCAGAATTTTCTTTTAGTTATACAAATTTGAATGAAATCATCACCACTTCCGATGTTGACTGAACTATGTTATAATAGGAAAGAGACAAAAAAGAACCATATTTAAATGAGGTTTATATATTATCTATTAATTTTCATGCATTGACAGATATTGCTTTTGCAGTATGTTACAATAGTCTTGTTGCGGATTAGAATATTTGTGGAGGTAAAGTAAGAGAATTTTTTCATCTTAGCATTACACGGATATCCAGCACACAAAAAGATAACTTAAAAATACCAGAATTTTTTACGTGTAAAATCCTAAAAACCGGAAAAAATCACGGGTCACGCCCAATCGAAATGATTCCTCTATTGTTTGAACGGGTTACAAAGAATGTCTCTTCCCTAAACTTGAAGACGGTCAAATGACAGTAGTTCAGGAAAGTGGGTTGAACATCGTGTGAATGTTCGTTAGTTTATAATGATGACAGTCGAGCAGAAGTCCGACTATGGTAGAGCGAAAGTCCGATGACAATTGGGCAAAAGTCTGGTGAGGGCCAGTGGCCAGGTGGAAGTCCGGCGATGGTCGGTGGTCAGACTGTGGTCAAGGAGTCTGGTAGCAAGAGAGCTCCTGGATTTCTTTTCCTCTCTTCTTTTCTCTCTTGCTTGTTTCCCACTTTCAATGAAGAATGATGAGTCTATTTATAGTTTTCTTGGAATGACATGACTTGTAAATAGGGAGAAAATCAATGGTATGTTGGGAGTGTGTCAATGGATGGTTGATATTAACTCCCTTAATCATAGATCATTTATCGAGCATTTAAGAGTCTTGATGCAGTCAAAATTTAGCAATCTTGGGCTCATTGGATTCATCTCGTTGAGCCACATGATTTGACTATAAGTATGTCACATTCGTATAGCATTTGGTAATCCAATTAATGTTATGAAGCTTTTAAGTAAGCTTTAGGTTCATTCAGACTCAGATTTATCTGAATTTGGTGTTGTTGGGCTTATCTCCTTAAGATGTTTAGTTTGACTATAAGTTTGCTAAAATTAGAGTTCTGATGAGCTCGAAATTAATTTTGGGAGTTTTCAATTTGAATTTGTTTCGAGATTTATGCCCGATCAAGATAATTTTTTGATGATATATTAGTTGTCCCTCTATTTTTAAACATCAAAGCTCGCAGAAGCTCAAAAATATATGTCAAAGTTTTCAATAAACTTCAATAGCAAAAATCTAATTTATGGGCACTTACAAGGCGCGACCGTTCCCCGGACGTCAACGTAGACTTTCTCTCGGGTGTCATGAACCAAGTAAAATACCCTTAATTATAAATTTAGCATGTTATGGATTTGTTGTATTGATTGGGATGAAACTGTAATATCAAAATATGCTCCAGGATCGTCCAGGACGATTAGTTGAGAATTTGCTCCAGATTTTGCCCAGATTTGTTCCAGGTGTTTTCCTGTAGGCATCGTCCAGGCCGATCGAGGACATCGGCCAGGCCGATTGGCACTGTTCAAAATATCGGCCGGAAAATAGTTCTGGGAACCGTCCAGGACGATCGAATTGGTCTGATCGTTATGCTATAAAAAGGGAGTTATAAGGGGCCTGGATCCTATGAGATTCAGTCAGTGTCTGGGAAGGGAGGCATAAGGGGCCGGAATCCGTAGAGATTCCGTCAGTGTCAGGGCATTTAGCTATGAATTAAATATATGATATCTGATTTGATATGATTCTGATTTCCGTATCTGTTCTGTAAGCAAGTCTGATTCTGATTTCCATACGATATGAATCTGATTCTGATCTGTATGATATGATTTCTGTCAATTCTGACATATGATCTGAATTTCTGATTTCGGTACGATTCTGATTCTGTTGATCTGATAGGTCTGATCTGTTCTGTTTCTGATTTGATACGACTTCTGTTTCCGTACAGTTCTGTTTGCTTTGATATTTGTTCAGTTCAGTTCTGTCTGATTTGATCTGTCCGTATCTGTTTTGATTTAATCTGTTTCGTTCTGATCTGTCCGATTTGATATCTGTCCGATTCTGTTCTGATTTCTGTACGGATTTGGCTGATGTGTTTGGTTTTGAGATTCTGAGAATTTTGATTGGAGGTTTGTTGCTTTGCTGAGCTGTTGAGCTCACTCTCATTTTCTGGTGGTTTTCAGGTTCTGGGAAAGGGAAGGAAGTCCAGGACTAGAGTTCAGAGTTCGATCTATGATAGGTACTTTTGTACTTTTAATTTTTGTACGGTCATGGCTTTTCTTCTGTATTTCTTCTGTTAGCCATGTACCGTATTTGTAGATGACAGAAACTTATTGAGAAATTTTGCTTCCAAACTTTAAATTTATTGAAATTAAGTTTAGAGGCTCCGTTTGGCTTTGAATATATCAAAATTGAGTTCAAAATGACAAAAATGATTCTGGGGACTCCAAAAACTTCAAAATTAGTTTGTCTAGGCAAAAAATAAGTTCCTAATGCTATTTGGTGACCGAATTAGTCAACCGATCGACTGGCCACCTGCTCTTGCAATCGCGGCCTGCGCTGCTTAGTTGTGGAAATAAATTCAAAAAAATTTTAAAAAAAAAATTTGAAAAAAATTTAAACAAATTGAAAAAAAAAAATTCTATAAGCCTCTTTACTCTCTTTTTCACATATAAATTCCCCCTTAGGGGTATGGGAAGATTGTGCCTTTTCTCCTTTTCCTTTTTTTTTTCAATCTTCTTATAATAGAGGTCTTCCAATATCTTGAATAAGTGATATCTCCTATCAAGTCTCAGTACCCCTCTTTGCATAGAAAGAACCTATCCTTCCCTCCACCTTGATCTCCCTCATATTCATTCATATATTAGAGACTATCCACTATTTTTAGATAGGCGAAATGTCTTATCTAATTTAAGTGTCCCTCTGTATACAAAAGTCTCGGTGCCCCTCTTTATATAGTAATTTTCTCATATTTATGCACAATAAATCATGCATTAATTCCTTTCATACATAAAACAAAAAAAAAAATTTCTTACGATTATTAAACAGAGCTTGATCATGGGTGTATAAAATTAACTAAATTTGATGTGTGTATGTGCACGATAGTTATGTGATTATTATTTCCCTACCCTTGCATGATTGCCCTCTAAGTACTTTATAACTTATAATTAAATTTGTTCAAAAAAAACTATGACATATCATTTGCCTTATCATAGTATTTTAAGAAGATTTAATGGGGATATTTTTGTTAAGTGAAGTTCTGTGTTTGGATAATGGTTTAAACCAAATACTTGGAAATTCATCACTTCCATTGCATATATATTTAGGTCACATGATTGTTGTATTGTGATGTGTTTATATATGTATGTCAAAGGGTTAGCCTGACCAAGATTCAATCCTATCAAGTACTAGTACCAATTAAGGACAATAATTAAGGATAATATCTAGATAATTTAGAATAATCCTAAAAAAGTATACACGAGGCAAATAAGGGTGAAACTATGAAATATTGAACTTAATGACATTATGAATATTAGGTTTTAATTTCAATGAATTTGGACTTCATTTGGTGAGAAAATTAAGCATATATATATATAAGGGTCGGGTTCGGGTTGAACAAATCAACTCGTTTTAAAAATCGAGTCGTCGGGTTGACCCAGCAACCCGAAATTGACCCAAAAGTGACACGAAAACTCATATTTGACCCGAAAACCCGAGGTCGACCCGTTTTGACCCGATTTTGACCCAAAAATTAGCAATTTTAGATCAAATTTGGGTCATTCGTGTCGGGTCGAGTTGACCCGGACCCGAATCGGGTCGGGTTCGGGTCAGGAAACTTGACCCGTTTTTAAAAACGGGTCAGGTTCGGGTTGACCCGAACAGTGCCGGGTTAGTTTCGGGTTCGACCCGCTGACCCGAATTGACACCCTGACCTTTAAGGGGTCTAAAACTTCAAAAAATTACAATAAACATAAATTAAATTTAAAAATACAAATAATTGCTCAAATTTTTAATAATTAAACATATAATCCAGGAAAATTAAAATTCCTATCACCAGGCATCAAAATGGGCTTTAATTTAATAACTAAAAAAATTAATAATTAATTAAAGTAAATAATTAAAAATTATTTAAAAATGACAAATAAATTCTAGACTCTTGAAAACACTCTTATAGGTCATTCCTGATATTTAGGAGAGATTTCAAGAGGTTTGGAGTAAGTTTGA